AGAGCGAGTTTGACATGCAGTTGGAGACTGTGTGGCATACGGCACGTCTCCGCAAAAATGGGCAAGCTGATTTCCGATGACCATCCGTATTTGCGAAGCACAGATCTACAATACATTTTGTTTAGTAAAATAACCTTGAATCAAATTGATTAATAGTCATTGCTTGCATACCTAGCGTCCTTCGACGTTTCGTCAACGAAACGCGTTGGTCCGGTCCACAATAGTAGGGCAGTAGGCGCTGAACATACTCTCGTCTCTCACGGGGAATGCTTTCACTAGCACGCTTTGTCAGTACTTTACGGGTCAGGCCGAGGTCGAAGCGAAGTGCACGGCAAATTGACGAGTCCGAAATGTTGAGAAGATCACTGAAGTTGGCGCGTTGTTCCTCACGGAGCTCTTCGAAGTAGAAGCACGGATTAGCCGTCACGTATTTCTTGACGAAGTTGCACACGTCTGGCGGCCATCTCGAGGTTTTATTTTTTTTCTTTCGCTCGCTGGAGACGTTACCAGTTTTTCGGAATTGGGTGTACCAACGCTCTTGGCTTCGTGCAGATACACCAAGAACACTACTTACCGTACTTCTATCGATATTGTACACGTAAACTAAGACAATAGCTCGCCAGCGGAGATCTACTGAAAACGTCATAGTGCTGTCTTTTGAATAGAGTTCGTTTGAACTGTCCCTTTGCCGGCTAAAGTCCGAATGCCAGTGAAATGACCGCCAATCGGACTAATGTGGTTGCGGCGATAGCTGCGTTGGTACGCCCGGAACCAGTTCTCATAGTGAGCTCTGATTGATGCACTTTTAGTATTAATAATTCATAGAATGTAACGAGCTAACTTGGAGGTATTACCCTAACCCTCTGTTGAACGGAGGCACTTGGCGACGTCTGATTTGCCAAAAGAGCTGCAAAGCACAATACTAGTCATACAAAAAGGTACGACGGTTCACTCGTGGCCCGTGGATGCAACACGTGGTCAGTTCTCAATCTGACGTATCTGAGAGAGATGGGGATCCATGAGTTGGCTAAAGACGGTCAGCATACGGCCAACGAGGTGCTCAAAAAGGCTACGCAGACTGTCTACGAAGCCAGTTTTAAGAAGTTTTCGTAGTGGTTGAAAACGCTGACGCACCGACTATGATAACAATCGAGAAGCTAGCTTCCTTCATTAGAAAGGACCGCAAGAACCATATCAACAATGCCCGACCAGCGGAGGATCTACCAGAGTATTGTACTTCATTAGAAAGGACCGCAAGAACCATATCAACAATGCCCGACCAGCGGAGGATCTACCAGAGTATTGTACTTCTCTGTGGAGAAGGTTTCATACGAACTCGTACTTTTTGGTATGACTGTCTCGTATCATTTGGTATGAACTCTTACGTTT